TTGTTTTGCATAAATGGAAGTTTTTTAGGTTGAGAGGGCTCTAGCCGACGACTAGGGATTTGAGAGCCATATCTTTCTTTCCAATTAAAGATCCACTTATATCTTGCTATTTCCTTTATAAATCTTTCAATAAAAAGTGTCTTGAGTGTTTCTATTCATGTTTTTCTTGTTGTATGTTCATTGGTTTTGCTGAAATCAAATTTTAGCTAAAGGTTTTCTAAATTTTGCATCACTTTCTATCAAATTGGTATCAAAGCACTTTTCTGAGCTGAAATATCACTATATAAGTCCTCGCTGATTTATGTTGCATTTTTCTCTTTGTCCTTGCTGATTTTTGTTGTTTGAAGGCCAAATTTGCATCAAATTATTATTTTTTATTGTTTCGAGCCTAGATTGAGTACCTATGACAAAAAAAAATAGACAATTGAAATCTGAAATTTTTAATTTTCAAACTCAAATTTCAGCTGTCTATAAGAAGATTAATGAAAATTTTCCATCATAGAGGAGATGATGAAGAAGTTGCTCGAGGGCCAAACCAAAACGGCATCGTTAGAGGCGTGAGAAGCCTTTAACAACCAAGGGAGTGGGGAAAACCCTGATCCGATAAGGAGAATGGAAGAACAAGAGGTGAAGATCTTGGAGGAAAAAGATAAAATATCTCCTTTAGAGCCTATTTCTAGGGAGGAGACCAGTAGAAGGTATAAGGAGAGGCGTTAGGGGGTTATGTATGAGCGAAGAGGTGTTGAATTTGAAAAGAGAGTGGTGGATAATGATCGGAGGTGATGAGGACATCGTCAGCATTTTTGACACGTGTACAATTATGAGACACCAGAGATCGACGGCCTCGATCATGAGTTGTATTTTGTCATTTTATGTAGAAGTTTATCTTATTTTTATGTTTTTCCGCTTTTGCCCTTATGGGCATTGAGTCGCTTATGTAGCCCGGAAGGACATTTGAAATTAAAATCAGATTTTGATTAATTTCTAGTGGTCCCCACCCTCTTAAATCTCAAACCTCTCCCCACTCTACATGGCCGGCCACTCCCCCCTCTCTCTCCCCTTTTAATTCTCTTTTATTACTTCCTTAATCCCTTTCCTCATAAATTAATTTCAATTTCAAATTTTGAAAACTGAAATTAATCCCTCCTCACTTTTGGAAATTTGAACTAAAATTCAGATTTTAGTTTTTCCCCTCATAACCTCACCCACCCCCTCTCTCTCCTCCAAAACCGTGACTCCTCCCTTTCCCATCCTGAGTACTCATTCAACCCTTGGCGAGGATGCATGGCGGAGCCCAAATGGAACTTTGGATTTGTGCATGACGACCAAGATCACGTTGACATCCTCCAATCACCGTTCTTTGACGTGGGCTTCGATTTCAACGATACCATTGAAGATTACATCGTCCGTATCCATTACACCTTAGTGGATGTGATTGACGAGCAAAGATCAAATGGACGTTGGATCATCCTTGGACGACCGTCATCCTCCGCCACCCCGGCCACCTATCCAAGAACGACGATCTTAGGCTCCTTTTTCCTCGGAGTGACCTCGGTTCTAATGTGGAGACTCTTCTTCCGCTAAAGCCTAGACTAATTGAGCGTATGGGCTCCAAAGGTGAAAGTTCTCTTTATTAAATCGCGGATTCTTGTTTATCGTCGTAGTTTTACAATTGCTCTTTGCGTTTTCTTAAATTGTTTGGTTAACCGACTTCGCTCTTCTTTGCCTAAGAAAGTTAAAAACTAAGAATTCTAAGGGTCAATCATTGTTATAAGTAATAAGTTTATTGTGGAAACACTTTGTTAATTTTCTATCTTTAATTTCCCTAAGTAACTCCGGATATGTTCAACATTAGGAGGTGTGCTGAATTTGAAAGGAGAGGGGCTGATAATGATCAAAGAGGTGCTGAGCTTGAAAGCAAAAGGTGGGATTTTGATGAAGGGTTTGGCTACGAGCGTAGAAGGGATGATTGAGACACTTGGGGGGAACCACCCCTTTGGGGAATGTGAAATGATGGAGGAAACAGGGGAAACAAAGGAGATATGAGGTGAGAAAGCTGAAGATGCCTATTTTTGAGGGAGAGAATGCACATGAGTGGATCTATAGGGTGGAAAGGTGCTTTACTGTTAATAGGTTGACAGAGGAAGAGAGATTGACGGCGGGCGAGATGTGCTTGGAGGGAAAAGTGTTGGCATGGTACTAATGGAGGGATGCGGGGCGACCCATATGGACCTGAAGGGAGTTCAAGGACTACTTGTTGGAATGTTTTCGAACCAACAATAGAGGGGTATTCTATTAGCAGTTATTCGCTCTTACGCAGAGGGGATAGTGGTGGAGTAGCGTGATCAGTTTGAGCACCTGGTCAGCCGACTTGATCGGCTTCTGAAGATTATACTGAAGGGGAATTTTATGAAAGAGCTCAAACCAGAGATTTGGGCGGCAATTAGAGTGATGAGGCCTCGTGACTTGATAGAGGCTATGGAGCTTTTCCAATTAGTGGAGGATCAGAGGCACCTAGAGAGAGTGGCTAGTGATAGCAGTTCAGGAGGTTTGCATAGGATGACCACCATCTTTTTGGCATCCAAGGAGCTGAGACCTGGTATTCTTAGGGAGATCCCGAAGGAGAAGACTATAGGAGGGACTTAGGGATAACTTCAAGAAACTCACAGAAATGGAGCTATGAGAGAAGAGGACGAAGGGGCTGTGTTTTAGATGTGAGGAGAGATATACACCAGGTCATAGGTGTAAGGACCGAACTCTTCAGGTTTTCACTTTTTGTGAAGATGAGGAAATTAAGGAAGGAGCCGTATGAGAGAATGAAGCAGCAACTTCCATCTTTCCACCTTGAGGACAAGGTGGGTCTTTGGAAGGGGGGTATTGTTAGACTGGTCCCTCTTGGATCGGGCATAGAAGGGCTGGTCCATTCTAGACCGGCTAGGATGTACGTGAGGCATATCCAGTTCGCTTTGTTGAAATCCCGCTCCCTTTGGAGTGGGGGCCTAGGTGGTTTATTCAAATGGGGGAGGGGCTGGTTAGGAGGAAAAATTCAATGGGAGGGTTGTTTTGGGAATTTGCTTGGTTTGTATGCTTTAAGTAAGTTGTTTATGTTAGAGTTTAGTTTTTATGCTTTGTTTTGCTGAATTTGGAGTTTCTTAGGTTGAGAGGGCTCTAGCTAGTGGCTAGGGATTTGGGAGAGCCGAATTTTTCTCTCCAATTGAAGTTCCACTTGTATCTTGCTATTTCCTTCATAAATCTTTCAAGAAAAAGTGTCTTGAGTGTTTCTATTCTTGTTTTTCTTGTTGCATGTTCACTGGTATTGCTAAAATCAAATTTCAACCAAACGTTTTCTAAATTTCTACATCCACTTCCTATCCTATTCATTTATGTATCATGATTTCATTCCATTTAATTAATAACAAAATTTACATCTTATATCCTAAGCAACCCGAGATTTTTATTTGCTTCTTACAATCGGGGACAAATTTTGTTTTAGTTGCCAAAGTTGTTTTTCACCTCATCTCATGGCGTTAATGAGTGCAACAAATGAATTGAGCCAAGCTGAGCAGGAGCTTGCTTGAGCTTAAGCTCATTTGTCAAATTCCTGTTTGAGCTTGAGCTTGATTTGAGTATTTGTAGTATTGTTCAAATTCAATTTATTTAAAATTATGGTTTTTTGAGGTTGGTTTGAGCTCGACTAATTAGTTAAGTAAACGAGTCTTATTGAGCCTATTAAAAACAATAATATTGAGTAGCTTGTTAGTTGATTGAATAAGCCTTATCAGGCTTTTTCAGGAGCAGCTGTTGAGCTAAAAATGAGATTTTAATTGAATGAATTACTAAATAAGTTTGCATTTTAATGAGTATAAACAAGTTGCTTGTGTTCATGAATAAAATCAATTAGCAATCTAAATTATAAAAGAACATATTTTCATATAATCATATATTAAATAAATTTGTAATTGAGTCTTCAATGAGCCTATTGTCAAGTCTCAATCAAACTTTTTAACGAATTTTTTCACAAGTTTTAAATGGTATTTCATAATAATAAATGAATCAAACTCCAAGTGGTTTAAGTTTGTTCATTATTAATTGAGTATTTGTAGAAATATTAAAGCTTGTTTGACTATTTAATTGACTGAAAATAAAGTGCTCTAACTGAGCTGACCAAAAGTAGCTTGTCAAGTGTGTTGATTCATTTGCAACCCTAATTTGAATTATTTTCACCCCACTTCCTCATTGTTAACGTTATCTTCTTTTCACTTTTACTAGCATGATATTAAAAACCCATCTCTAGTAATAATCTGGTTTCTGGCTTTCTTATCAACACGGGGGTTTGAGTAGTGTTGATTTTTTCTCCTTATTAATAGTATTTTAAAATACCCACATTAAACATGGTTTACTATTATGCTTCTATTTGAAATAAATAATAGTCGTTTACAAATTTTATTACTTTTATGCTTTTAAAAATATTTGCGGAGAATGTAGTAATTGATATGATTCATCACTAAAACCAATACTTAAGGAAAGAGTCTGGTGCATAAGCCAAATTCAACTTTAAAACCTTGGTGAAAGAGTCTGGTGCACAAGCCAAATTTTACTTTAAAACCTTGCTGACTACTTTTATGCATTCTTCCAATTCCATTCTTTCTAGTTCTCTTTTCCGTAAGGTACAAGGATTAGTTAATCTACATGTACTCCTTCGCCTAAGCTAGTTGAAAACCAAGAATCTTTATTGAATTGTCTTGTTATCACAATAAGTTATTGAGTGGAATTAAATTGTCCAGTTATTCTTAAATTCCTTAATGAGCTCCTGTGTATGCTGGTTTCACATCAGTAGTAGTACCCTCTAGAATATCCATTATATCTAGCTTCTCTACTTTAAACTGCTCGTAATGATTTTAAAGTAGAGTCTGGTATTTCAAAATAATATAATCCATTTTCTTTTCATTTGTTCTTCGATCACACAAAATTAAAATGAACTGAATCATTAGATTTGACAGGTTCAAATAGCTCATTCTTATGAGAAGAATGGAGCAGCATGCCTGAGCGTTTTGGCTGATGAGAAGTATTTTCAGGCGAGTATCTTCTATTGGAAATAAAATTAATATTGTTTAAAATTTTTTTCAGAGACAGACCCGTAAGATCCATTTCTGAATAGTTCTAATGTGTTTTTCGGTTTTAGGGAAGCTTTGAGAATTTGGAGGCTATTCGGAGAGCTGGCGTCAAGGTTTTGTGGTTTCACATATATTCTTACATTTTTTTTTAATTTTGTTTGTAAACCTTTGTCCACCTTGTTATGAGATTTGCATATCGTTATTGTACGATCTGCTTAATCAGAAGGTAATTGCAGTGCCCGCTTCTCTGCAAGGAGTTTATTATTGATGCCTGGCAAATTTATTATGCTCGGTCAAAAGGAGCAGATGCAGTCCTTTTAATTGCTGCTGTATTGCCTAACATTGACATAAAGTACATGTCTATAATTTGCCAAAAGCTTGGCATGGCAGCTCTGGTTGAGGTTTGTGAGCTTGATCATTGGTTAATAGTTTTTACGAATTTCTCTTGTTGCTGCTTTTTATATTAGTGCTTGATATATCAACTTGTAGGCATTACTAAAAGCATTTCTGTGCATATGAAGATTTCTTAAACCTTGTTGTGTCTTTGTCCTGGAGGGAGTGTTGTCTCTTTTCTAGCTCATGGTCTTTCCAATGTACCTTTACTTGTTTACTGAATGTATGATACTCTATTTTAAAGGAAAAACAACGCTATTCATTATTTGCTGGGTTGAACATCGAGTGAAATTGAAATTTAGTTTCAATCTTTCTTAATTTTTTGTTATATTAACTGAGGTCTTCCGTTACGGCAAAAAAGTCCAACTTATAAATAATTTTCTTTGCTTGGGACTTATCTTTACCCAAAAAAATTTCAATTATCTCTTGAAAGCAGGAAGTAATGCTAAGTTGATGTATATAAGTTTCTCTAATAGTGTCCGAGTATATGCTACTTTTCTATAATGTTAACTTTAATTTTTAAGTAATTGAAGTCACAACAATGTAGTATTTTATGCTAAGTTAAAATATGATTATTTTATATGATTAGCTAGTGCCCTGATGTTTTGTTTTAGGTGCATAATGAAAGAGAAATAGACCGTGTTCTGGGCATTACTGGTATAGAACTTATTGGCATCAATAACCGTGACCTCGGTAAGTTATTTATTAAAATACTGTATTGATATTCTTTGACCTTTTGCTTTGTTTTTTCCCATATCCATTTACAGTATATTCTCATGCGTAAGCTTTGTATGATATTATCTTTAGTTGAAAGGGCAGAACCATACATCATTTTTAATTTTTTTCAAGGAAAAGTTTGGCTGTCAGATTGCTCTCATGTTATGGAACTGCTAGGGATCTCATTCCTTTATCTCCTTTTAGTCTTTTTTATTTTATGAGAGCTCGTTCAAGGTTCTTACTGCCAAATATTTCGTTTCCAGTTCTTAGTTTTGCAAATTGATTCTGTTCAATTTGCAAGAGCTATAAATGCTTGTATGCTAATTCCTTCACACTTTTTTATCGTATCAGATTTAAATGTTTTGATGATCAACCCTGATTATTCTTCATCTTTTCCTAGTTAAATTTTATCTCTCGTTTTCCTTTTCCTAACTTACTCTGCTTCTTCATTATTTACGTTTTGAACTTCTCTTTTTCTCTGATCCAATGAAGTTTTGTACTGTATACTTCACCAAATTCACTTCAGGATGGTACCAGACTTCTTTTGATTTCAATTTGCTCTATTCTGAAATGTAAAGGCTTAAACTAATGCTCTTTTCAAGTTATTTTCAAATAAGCAAGGAATTCACCACGTTAGTCATTTTTTGGGGTGAAGAGCTTTCTGATAGGTATACTATTTTAGGAGCATGATGAAACTTCATTAAGAGTAGTATGACTGATGGGGACATCAGATTATGGAAGGTTTATCAGAGGCGCGACCGCCGATCTACTGCCACGATTGAGTCATTGTACTCTTGATTTATGTATTGTCTTATTATGTTTCGTTGTATTTGTTTATTTGATTTTATTTCATTTCCCGTTGTACCCTTCTAGCAAAGGAATGTCATATGTAAGCCCAAGGGGCATTAGTGTCTTTTGTCTTTGAGTCCTTTGTATGAGGCTTTATATAGCCATCCTTACTTTCTTTTGAAGTTAATGAATGATTATTTGAGAATTTTGTTTTCTTGTTAAAGTTCTTGAGAGAGCTTGAGAGATCAGAGAGAGATCCCTTGGAGAGGGAGATCGGCGCATCACCCACCAACCTTGAAGGCGGCCGGGTTCGTGGTTTCCTATCGTTTTCTCCCCTCAACCCCATCTCCCACCACCTAGCCGTTGGCCAAGGCCCACCAACTCCATTGCCGCCGACCCCCTACCCGATTTTCCCTCCCACCTCCCAAATTCTCCACACCCCATCCCTTCAAAACCCTTTGGCCTTACCCCTTTGTCGCCGGCCTCACCACTTCCCACTTCATCCTGGGGTTTCCTAATTTGGTGAATACAATTTGGAAACAATTCGAAATTTAAATCGTCTAAATTTGAATTTCAAAATACTTTCCTAATTTAGTTCATCTATTTTAGGAAAGTATCTAAATTAAATCATTTTGAATTTTAAATTCAAATTGGATTTGATTTATTACTTTTCTAATTCTTAAAACTAAATTAAAGAAGCCTTAACTCCTCCCATTAATTGCCCCTTGATCCATGCATGCTGCCGGCCCCTATAGGAAGTTTTTGGATTTACTTCCTAAATCCCCTCTAGCTCCTCTTGGGAGTGTTTCTAAATATCACCCCCCACCCCCATAGCCGAATTTTCCTTAAACCCTTTTAATTAATTTGTTTCCAAAGAAAGCTCTCCTAACTTTGGAATCAAATTGTAATCCCTCCCCCCTTGCCGCCGCCCCTCCCCTCTCTCTTTCCCTTTTGGAATTATTTTAAATTCCAATCCCTCTTCTCTCCAAAATCTGAATTATTTCAGGATTTATTTCTTCTCTCTCTCAAGTTCAACAACAAAGTCCGTTAGATCTCTTCTCCCTTGGCTGGCCTCCTACCACCACCAATTCTAGAGAAATTTCTTTCTCGTCAACGATTTTCCAGAGTATTAGCAACCCTTGGGAAGACTTTATCATCGAGCATTCATGAATGGCCGATCCAAAAATTGAATACGGCCTCTCCTACGACGAGCACGGGTCTGTGTGCATCTTACATTCAACCTTTCCAAGGGTCGACCACACGGTGGAAAATTACATCGAGCGAATCTTGGATAGCTTGGTGGAAGCTATTGAAGAGCAATTGGATATCGTCGAGTGGAGGATCGCCACCGATCCTTGACGAAGGTTTCCTATGTTCCCCTTTTCTCTTACTTCTTGAATCTAACTTTTCTCGTGGTTTGATTGTAGTCACGAAGGCTAACCGTCTCCTGTTTCTGCTAAGCTTAGTAAATATATGATTTTTTAGCGTATTCATGTGCTTACTAATCTCATTATTATACTAGGAATTTTTATTGAAGCTACTATTCTGGCATGATGTTGTTTTCTAAATTATTTTGAAGTTTCAAATCTCTTTTTATGTGATTTAGCCTAAGCGGGCATGACCCCTCTTACGTTTTATTATGTTGTTTTAAATGCTTGTAGTTTTCTTCGTTATTCACTAATCAAAAGTTGTGCAAGATCTTACAAAATTCATTACATTCATACATAGTTTTAGATCAATGACACTGTAAATTTACATTGAAATTATAAAACAATGGAATCAACATATGGTATGTACATATAAACGGAACATGTGGGTCATGGCATCATATTATGGAATAGTTTAGTGGAACAAGGGCCAACATGGGCTTCTGAATGGGCGTTAGAGGCCACCTTCCACTTTTTGCAGTTGTAGGAAGATAGAGCAACAGTAGAATTTAAAAGCATTTTAACTTATTTACCTATAGATTTTGCCTTGCAAGATGGTGAATTGACTGCTTTTATTTTGGTTTTGGGGGATTGAGGTTTCCAACGATGTTTTTGAGCTTAATTTACATCGAGGGAATCAATGGTATGAACGATTCACTCGACTAAGATCTCATAATTTTGTTATCCCGTTGATCTAGTGGATCCAATCTACTAACTATGGAGGGCTTATAAATATTCCTGTAAAGATTCTAATTAAAAATCATGAATGACCTACTATGATATATCCCAATTATATCAAAGTGACAACATGCTAATGGGCATTCTCTATTTCATGGTGAGGTTCATTTATTTGCCTTATATAAAAAATGTATTTAGTTTACAGGCTTAGCTGACCGTAGCTCAGAAGTTCGAGTAAATGACCACCAAATATTCCTTAGCTTGCCTTGACCTATTCATGCTAAAATTGAATTAAAGTCATGAAGCAGGCCCGAGTGCATATATTAGGTATTGATTCTAGCTTGGAGGCTTGACATGACCAATTCACCAATTTTGGGATAAATTTTAGATCCACTTTGTAAGAGGAGTACTTGAAACGAGATGGATGGGTATGGATTTGTTATTGTGAGGCATTTTTTGATGTTGCAGTTTATATCAAATATTTGACTCGAGGGAGGTATTTAAGTCTATTCATTTTTGTTGAGATGATTAACCGTGTGGCGGAGGATTTGTTGTCATATCTATATGTTCCCTTTAATCGGGACTCCAATGTTGATTTGCACGGGGATGAAATTAAAGGCTATTTTAAGTGACCTTTCATCATTACTGAGCTATTTTCATTTGATTTTATTTGATTTTTATCTTTTTTTTATTATAATTCTTTAACGTCCTCTTTTTCATTATTCACTTACAACTTTGATTTCAACACCAATGATGCATCGTCAAAATGAACGTCATGGAGATTCTATATTCATAATCCACCTACGAGAGTTTGTCAAAAATTTTATTATCTTTAAGCATTGATCAGGGCACCAGCAAAATCTCGTGCCATATCAATTTGTATTTCATTGACATATGCCATTAGATAAACCAAAATGCAGTAGTGTTTTCTTCGGGCATAGAAACCCGAGGTAATTCTTCGAACTTTGGGGATGATACTATTGAGTGCAAAGATTTGATTATGATCTTTATGAAGCCATATGCATCAAGCCTTGGAGTACAAAGACTATGGTGGCCATCTTTGATTATAAAACAAAACAAAAACACTAGCCCAATGCATACAAGATCACTGGCCCAAAGTAGAAGTGCTACGGTGTTTACTTTTGCACTCTTGTCTTGGCAATGTAATGGATTCTCTTATATCAGAAGTCATTTTGTTTTGAGAGGAACTCTGTTAGACAGGTCCAGCCGGTCCACGCAGGACCGGCCAAGACGCGAAACAGGCGGACTCTCCCTCTTGTCTGTATGCGTCGGACGAGTCGCCCGGTTCCAAAGAGCCTTTTAGGAAGTTTTTTTTAGGGCTTTGAAAGGTAAATTTGAATATAGGGAATGTTTAGGGATTTTCTTTTGATTTGTATGCATTAAATAGTTGGTTTTCCTAGAGTTTGGGTATCTTGAATTTGGCTAAAATTTGAGATATCTTAGATTTAGGTTTTCTTTTGGCTCTAGCAGCGTCTAGAGATTTGGGAGAGATCGATCCTCCTCTCGAATTGAGGATCAAGTGTATCTTGCTATTTTCCGTGTTCCTTTCATCAAATAATAAAAATTTTCTACTATTTTTTGTGATTTTGTGCGGATTGTTGTGAAGAATTCTCGCTGTTTTACGAAGATTGATAGGTAATACTTGAGATTTACAAGTGTTTCCTATCAAATTGGTATCAGAGCAAGTCTTGGGACCGTTCGTGGGTTGATTTTGGCGAAGTTTGGCGTCCGATTTTTGGTCGGGAAGGGACGGAATTGCTGTTTTTGTAATTCAAATCCGGAATTTTTGGATTTACAAAACTCCAGATTATAATGGCGGCCAAGAAAGTTAATGCTTTGGAGGAGAGACTCGAATGAGAGATGAATCACATCAAAGAAACTGTGGAGGAAAGAATTTCTTCCATGGAGGGGCAGGTTTCTTTCCTCCATGGAGGGGCAGGTGGCCGATCTCAGGGATATGATGAAAAGAATGCTGGAGCTTCAAGAACAAACGTCGGCATCCGAAGCGAAGGGCACCAATTATGAAGCTTCACGCACCCTAAACCCTAATGCAGAAGCGAA